ATACTGAGCGTGTCAAACCTATCAATTATATATATATATATATATATATATATAAGAATCATAGGCCCGCCTACGTGGTACCCTTAGAATTTACGAATTTATTTTTATGTTTTTTTTTTGTACTTTAGTTTTTTCACCCTTATTTTATTTTTATCTTTAATCTTTTTCTTCCAACTTTTGTGTTCATTAAGACTGTTGTATCTCTTCATTTGCGTCTCTTCAGGAACTACCTATAAAAACTAGGCAAATCATATCAGTTGTTGTATCTTTTTTTTGTGAGAAATTTCATCCTTGATTTCTGTGAAAGTCGCAAATTTCTTCAAAGACTACTTTGGATCTTCGCCAAAAAAATTAACGAAACAAAATTATAATTTACTTGTTTACTTTCAGGACTGTTGAGACTGATTATTTATATGTTCCCTGGTACACTAATCTACTTTCTATCCTTATCCCTGAGGATACACTATTAGTTATTCTAGATTTTTCAACTACTTTAACCATTTGTTATATGGTCTGAATTGCACAAATCAATTGTTGTAATGAGTTATGTTAATGTCACGCCCCGAGCTATTCCGAGACGTCGACACGGGACCTAGGACCACAAGTGATCCCAAGCTAACCTTGCTGGCATGATCATAAGCATACTAAATATAATAAACTGATGCGGAAGCTAAATCATAAATAAATCTGAAAAGATGGGGAATACCCATATACTATAACTGAATATATCAAATCTAAGAGTTTAATACAAAGAAATATCAAACTCAAAATACTAAGCTGAATCTAACTATGTCTGAAATAAGCCTCTAAACTGACTAGAAATGTTGGGACATGTCCCAACTAGATCTAGCAAAACTGAAACTAAAGACTAAAAGCGATAAAGATAAACATGTCACTAGTCCTCGAAGAATGAGGACTCACCACTGATGCTGCTGAACTGAAGATCGGAAATCGATCTAAGCGTGATCTGGATACTGAGAACCTGAACCTACATCACGAGAAGATGTAGCGCACGTATGCGTCAGTACTTGAAAGGTACTGAGCATGCAGGATAGAGTAAAGCTGAAATAACATATAACTGAACAAAGCAATAAAGCAATGAAATAATCTGAACATGATATAGATACTGAAAATACTGAATACTGAGCTAACTGATACAATGACCAAATTTATAACATGCTGAGACTGAATACTGACTGTACTGAAATATGGTCAATGCAATAGAGTCTGACTGAACTGTGGGAGCTACTAATAA